GAATATTTCTGCCAGCGAGGTGGTTTGGCATCTGATGAAGGACCAGACGGAGCCGCTGGTTGAGTTCCAACTCAGGAATGCTGAATATGACCGCACGGACAACAGCGATGGCTCGAACCATAACCTAGTTGCAGTTGAACGATTGTATGGTCTGAACCTCCTTCCAGATGCCATCTATCCTCAGATCATCGTGCCTTATCTCGACCAGGCCCGTGGCCTCAACGGCCCTGATGATTGCATGATCAAGGTGAAGTGGCATATGTTGGAGGCAGTTGCCGGTATCCCTGTCTTGGATGATTTTGAGGTGTCCCTCTTCCCTCTCAAGGTTCAGTTGGAGCGGGAACTTGGCCAAAAGGTATTCGAGTACATGTTCCCCAACGTCGGCTCTACTGCATTCGAGAATGGTGGATTTTCGCCCTTCATGATCAAAAACATGAAGCCACTTGATGATTCATCTGATTCTGATGAGGAGGAAAGCCCGACGGCTCGTGCACACCATGATAACAGTGATCTTTCAACCGACGATCTGCAGCTGAAGGGTCCAGGAGCAATTGAGCTGAGGCTGCAACCAACGCTGTCACTATCGGAAGAAGCCAGACCGAAGTCTCAACACCGGCAGCTCAGAGGTCTTGCCATGACCCCTCTCCACAAGGATACTAAGGACAACAACCACATCCGACCTTCAACGAGTGGCGGGTTGACAAAGAAAAGATCAGTGGACAGTCTACGCATATTGTCTAGGCAGCCCACCGAGAAATCCGTCGCTAACACATCGGGCGGTTCAGGAAACAATGAAGAGAAAAAGAAGTTTGCACTTGGAAGGCTACCAAACAAGGGCAAGAAGGAGACTCCTGATGATCTGTCCCAGATGATGTCCCGTGCGTCAAACTACATGACGCTTGCCCACGTTAAGGTGCATGATGTGGTGCTGTGTCTGAGCTACAAAGGCAAGGGAGAGCACAACATAGAGGATCTCCACGACTTTGTTTTCCGGTTGCCAGTCCTAGAGTACCGTAACAAAACCTGGTCGAACCTTGATTTGGCCTTGCGGCTGAAGAAGGATGTTATCAAGGCTCTAATCTCGCATGCGCCCGCCATCCTTGGGAACAAGTTCTCACACCACCGGCCCTCGAAGCAGCAGCAGAAACGATACCGGGAGCTGGCCAGCTCAACCCAGCTCGTACACTATTCCGATACCGCGGTGAATGCGTCCGATCACGCTCATAGCATGGCCAGCGCAGATTCGAACAGCGAATATTCAGAGTCTCAACGCTCTGGGAAGTCTGGCACAGGCACTTCTCCACTTGTGCGATCCAACTCTCTCGGGTCGAGTATGCTCCACGAGCCAAGCGGGGTGATACCGGACTCTCGCTCTGCGAGCGAAGTTGACGTGGATGCCCGTTGGGAGGTATGTTGAGGAAGACAAATGGTAATGGACGCCGCTAATCAGCTTTTAGCAATCACGACGAATCGTCAACCCTCCCACTCGACCCATGACTTCAGGCAATGCCATGCCCAGGTCACAGACAATCAAGACCTGGGACGAGCCGGAAGAAACGTCAGTAATGCCTGAGCTGGCCCTATGGTATCCAAGCTAATGTTCAATAGGACTAGTCACAAGACATCAATCCGCAATTTTGGCCGGAAATTGATACCTTCTCGAAAATGAGCCCGCGTCGCTCTACTTAGCTGGCTGCCTCACCGCTGGCTTTTTGCATCATACATTTCTATTATAATCCGTCATTTGTTATCTGCACATTACTGGCCTCGCATTTGCCGTGTGATACCCCCAGCGCAGTGGGTCGTATATAGGCGTCAACGCTTTTGGTTTCCTGTTTCCATCGACGAATTGTCCGATGTCTCCAGGTGTTCCAGGGGTATAGTGTGATTTACTTCACTTCTTGTGTAAAGTTGATTATATTTGGTTTTTGTGTGGAATACATTAATTTTAGTAGCGAGTGGCGCTGTCCGACACTTGCTTTTCCTCTTGATCTGTGTTGCTGGTGTATAGTGTACGAAGGAAGATTACGGAATAAAGGAGCTCTCGTTGTTATTTTGGCACGCGCAGTGGACATACCATATATGAACCGTGTATGATAGGACAGGACAAGACACAATTTTGCCAGCCACTACTTATGCTTACAGTGTAGAGGTAGCACTAGCACTCCGACCAAATTTATAGACGAAAGAACATAGATCAATCACCTTGATAACGTCGAATCCGACAGAGTAATCTTCAAACAAGCATGGCATCTCCCCGGCCGAGCGCCAGCATGGCGACTATCCCAATTTGTCCGCGGACAACTCTGATTCCTTTGCGTAGCTTCCCAACACCGGTCGAGGCCATCACTGCCCAGATGGCCACATTCCATGTAGGTGTATACTTTGTGAAGGCACATGTTGTTCCTGAGAGGATGGAGATAGTAGTGCTGATGTCAATAGATGTTGTTAGTATGTGTAGTAGTAGTAGGCACCAAGGTAAATGTGTGGGAATGGAATGGGGACAGAGGGAAGTATAAGTAGGAGGCGGTGGGTGGGTCGAGGGGGATGTTCCAAGGTTTTGTTAGTGTATGGGTTTTAGTAATTGGGATGTTGCGTGATGATGTTGGGGATTGCCATTCATGTAGGTTAGATGTAGGCTCATGTTGTTTTGATCATTGGGATAGGCTGTTTAGTTAGTATGGTAGGGCGAGGAAAGTGTCCTCGACGAAGCAGATAGAGTAACTACTATATCTCTATGCAGGCGGATTTCTCCAGAAGTTGGTCTAGTATCGATTCTCGTTTATTTTCGTGTCGATCCGAGGCACTGGTATCGTGCGTAGTCTATGTTCCGTTCTGTATGCTTACTAGGGATCGATTGTTTATTATAAACAGTAGTATTAAGTGGATTTGATCGGTTTGGGACTGAACAGACTGTGTAACACAAGATACTAGATACTATAGCGTCGCTGGCTGGAGGACATGAACTGAAAGCACAGAATCAGTAAGGATTCAGTGATGCAAATATCGATATGATCGATTTCTTTTCTTCTTCAAGTGTATGTAAGAGTGCAATGCAGAGTATATCATGGTGTTAGTAATTTGACAAAGACTTTGCCAATGCAGCTGTAATATGCAGATTATTCCAGTTCTTCAAGAACGTCCTCGCATATCCGTCTGATCTGTCCCCATCTATCCAGCAACATTTGTAATTTCTCTCTTTCCCATGCTTTTGATCCAATTTCCTTATCGCTATCTCCGATCTCTTCTCCTAGATCTCGAAGCAGATTCGCAATAATGTCCATCGTCCCGATGCACTCTTTCAGATATACCTCCACCCAGCCTCGTATTACGCTTGCGGTCTTCTGCGCGTCCACGCCCCGCTCTGAGCGTCCGTTTACGTAGGCGCGCCACTCCCGGAGATTCATGTATTTTAGGCATGCGGCGTAGTGGAGGGGGGTTTCTTGGGTGAGGGGGTGGGAGAGGGTGTAATTTCTTTTGATATGCTAAGTTAGTATTGCGTATCCAGCTTTGTGATCGTGTTTCATGACCCAGGGTTAAGGGACATCGAAGGATAGGGTATGTATGCTCACCCAAAAATCTCCTGCTTCGCTAATTCCTGTTTCTGGGATATGCTTAGATCTTGGAAGATTATGTCGTCGAGGTAGATGCTGTCGGATGGGTTGGTGGAGAGGGTGAAGCCATCTTTAGTCAATTGTTAGTTGTTGGTCCATTCTTAGGTGGAACTGTTGTTTTGACCAGAGTAATGGTAATATACTGACATTCAACTAAAAGAAAGTCGTTCGAGTGGTTGCCATAGCTCATGTAGACTTCTTCGCCCTTCTCTGGATGATGTTATTCTTGCACGTATAGACGTTAGGAGGGGGAAGGGGGTTGGGTACCATATCGCCGCGTTGCTCGGAAAGTATACTTCTTTCCGTCAAAGTTGACATCGCATGCCTGTACATTGTCAATACATACACTCTTATACAGATGGTACATCAACATAAGGATAAACCCACCGCATCATCAACATGATTAAAATAATCTGCAAACGGCACCATTCCAATCGCATCATTCCAGTCCTCTGGCTCATCTTTCCCAGGAGAGACATAATAAAAGCTCCTCGAATTGATAATGCACCAGTAATAAGCGAACGTCTTCCACTCAGTCTCCGGGTACACTTTCAAGACATTTGCCCAGGCATCTTTCAGGCGCGTTTCTTGTTGGCTGAGTAGGTTTTGATATCGTGTGTCGTAGTCTACGCCTACCGGAACTTTGGAGAAGGTGTTCCATTCTCCAGAGATGGAGGGTGGGAGGAGGACTTTCCCCTTATCTTGATCTTGATCTTGTTTCTCTGCTGAGGAAGGGTTGGCGTTGGCTTCGTAGCTCGAATTCGATACCCGAAGATGCGCGGGCCAAAGGACCGGCATGCTATCTTCAAACTCATCAAACGAGGGCCATACTCTCCGCCAAGCATCTAAATTCTTCAGAAGAGCTGGATCGCCGTGTGTGAGAAAAGCAGCCATTATCCCATGTATTGATGTCCCAGCAGGAAATTGCGATGTGAATGATGATGGGATAGAGTCGATAGTCAGCATTAAATCCACAGGAATGGTGAGCATGATCTCATTGTTCTATATAAATTAGCAATGCACCATAGTATCTCATCCCTAGGTCTAGGAGTACAGGATTCAGCAGCCTACTTTTATTGTTCGCGTCGCCTTCATCCCCAACCGTCGGCCGGGGAATCGTGCCGGGGTGACGCCCTTTATTTTGATCCCCGACGCCTCAGCCCATTGCATGAACGCAATATGCTCATCGCCAGGTGAATCATCCATCTTCTATCTTGAATTCTGCGCTACTGGACCACGCCGTTGAGATCTGTTGACGCTTGACTCCGATAGGAATCGTGGATGATCGATTGGTGTAGTTCTGCACCGATTAGATAAGCCGATCGATAAGGGAAATTTTATCCCGCATCAACAACATCACATCGGGTGGGATACATCCCTTGCAGGAGTTCTCTCACTCGCTTACTTACTTGAAGCTTGCTTATAGAGCTGCACCGCGCTGCGCTGTGCTACACTACTGCTGACAGCAGCCACGCACACCATGTCCACCCCCAGCGACGCCCCTCCCGACTCGCACATCGACCATGCCGCTTCCCTCCGCTACTGGAACTCCGTCGCCGCCAACACAAAGACCATGCTGGGCATGCTAGGCTCGTACCCATGGTACACGCGAATCGATCTCCGAGGCTCCAAGACCTTCCTTGGCAAGGTCCGTCGCATGATTCCCAATTGCCCGACGGAGGGGAAGCTCCCACTGGGCGTGGACTGCGGCGCAGGCGTGGGTCGCGTCACCGAGGGTCTCCTCAGCCAGGTCTGCGAGCGCGTTGATGCCGTCGAGCCCATTGAGAAGTTCACCGAGGTGATTCGGAACTCGGAGCTGAAGCGCACGGGTGTTGTCGGCGATATCTATACAATGGGTCTGGAGAATTGGTATCCTGAGAAGAACAAGTACGATTTGATCTGGACGCAGTTCTGCGTGGGACATCTTACGGATGTGCAATTGAGGGAGTACTTTGTTCGATGTCGGGAGGCGTTGACGGAGACGGGGATAATGATCGTGAAGGAGAATCAGTCCACCGATCCGAATGGGTTGGATATGTTTGATGAGGAGGATAGCAGTGTGACCAGGACGGATGAGAAGCTTCGGACACTGTTTAAGGAGGCTGGGTTGGTGCTTGTTGCGTCGGAGTTGCAGTTGGGATTCCCGAAGAACTTTAAGCTCTTGCCTGTGAGGTTTTATGCGTTGAGACCGTCGACTTGAGGGTCTTTGGGAGATTATTCAGTGATGTGATACGGCGGTGCTGTGTACCTGGTTTGTCGGAGGTTCTGGGTAGCGTCTGCCGTTGGGACTTCTGAGTCAATGCGGATTCTAATGCCTTTGGAGCCGAGGTTCGCGTCCGACTATCAGTGCGGACGCTGGCAGTGCGCAGCCCCCCTTTGAGGGACGCAAAGTGTGCGCAGCGGACAATATACCCAGACGGTGCCGTGCATACTCCTAAGGAGGAACATTGCAAAACCCGTCGCAGACTAGCGGCTTTGCATACTTACTGTGAACGGATTGAGATGCAGAGTGCTTAGTTGAATGGTACGAAGTACCATATCTATCTATGCTAGCTGCAGAAGTGATGCCAATGCGAAATCAACAACCCTGGGAGACATGTTGTTATCGACAGGATCAAGGAGTGTGTGATGACTATGCAGTCTTCAAACACAGGCCAGAAAGCATAACCAGATCATGTATGAAAGTAGGAACAAGCAGGGTATCGGTGTATATAGTACAGTGGCTCAAGCCGTCATAAACATTCCATCATCAAGATTTTCTTCAAAATTCCTTATCTCGTCACTCAGCGTGGTAGTGTCACGGCTGGTAAGGCTCTGCGGCCATTTGGCATACCTCAATGATCACTCGGTGTAGACGGGGGAGCCTGCTTCTCTCGGAACCAAGGCACGAAACTTGGCAGATGATCCTGCATCGCCTCAAGCCTGGTCCGACCACCACTGGGCGCATCAGGGTCGTCGGTGTACGGGATACCTCCCTGGCCCCGGTTTTCTGCCCAAGCCTTTTTCTCGCGCCGAAGATCGCTTTGGACCCAAGGTATCGTGACCAACGTCCAGAGGCCAGCCCACGCGAACGGCAACGACCATCCTAGCTACACACCACTTAGTACCATGTGCTGTAGTTGCTTGAAGTTCACTCACAGTGTATGCAACTGGCTCTGAAACAGTAAATATAATTGCCGTAATGGCGGCAGCGACAACGATAGAACCCCCAGCCCAGAAACAGTTCATCTGGAACAGCATACGCCGGAAGTACGGGCTAGAGAGGTATCGAGTGCGAAGCGCATATCGGTAGATCTGACCACCACCCCCATCAACGGCCACTACATCCTCGATCAAAACATATAGGGCGGTCGGCATTGTCGAGCCTTTGGGCGTTGATGAAATCCGAAAAGGCGCCTTAACACCACAAACACGAAGGATGTCGAGTGCCAGGTACATGCTGCCGAAGTAAAACATCACCGTCGGAAGGACCATGGCGACTAATCGGACTATTGACCACACAGGTTAGCGGAGACACAAAGGAGACGAAGAGAGGTTTTACCATATGGTTCTTCTGGAACGGTTCCTCTGTGGTGGTGTTAGTCTAGTCGTGGACAAATGGATGGCAATGGCAACACGTACACAATTAGCTCAATCGCCAGTATCAACCAGACGATGGTGAAATTGATATGGAAGAAATCCAGCTACATCCGGTCAGAGCCCACTTCTATACAAGTTATAGCCACGGAAAGCGTACCCATCCCTTCCTAGCGTTCAATGGCCGGGCTCGCGAGTCTTTCCGGAACAAGTTGTATAGACGATAGAAGTATTCGAAAACCGATACACCTCCTAACGAAGCCGTCACAATACTGAATACTATAGGACAGTGAATGAGTAGCTGATTTATGAATAAGGTAAAGAGGCAGATATCCACGTACCCAGGTTGTGCGAAAGATCAGTGGCGTACCAGAGCGCCCAGTAGAGGACGAGCGGTTGGGCCAGAGTATCAATCACGAAGATTGTCCAGAAGATGGCGATGGACTTCTTCCTCGAGCGCAAGGAGTATGGGAGCGGTGGAGGCTCAGGACACGCAGCAGGCCTCGATTCCTCGTCCATCGAGTTGGCAGTCGTGGTGCGGGTGGGCGAAGTTTAATTTGTCAATCTCACGCAATCTGCAATGGCCGGGTCTAGGGTAATAGTATTCGAGAGACAAGGGAAGGCATGACGGGAGAGGACGGAGATGGGAATGGGAGGAACAGGAAGGAGAAATCCCAGAAATCCCAGATGAAGTCAATCTGACTGACGAGAGATAAGCCAGAAAGGCCGGAAACGACGGCAGGGACGCCTCGTAAACGAGCCCAAGGCTTTCAGTGGAAGTGTTTTTGCCATCGGCGGCATCGGTTGGTTTTTTGGCCGTGATGCCTGACGTAACCGGGCCGTGATGTCATGCTGCTAGTTGTCGATCCCGCGCTCCAGACCGGTTCTGCACAGGATTTGTGAGACATCGTGGTTTCTTTGTTTATTCACCCTCGGATATTGCAAGGAGTGAGGGCACCATTATACTTCCTGTACTTCCTGTACATACAGGACGTTCTGGAGTATGCATCTCTCTCTCTCGCAGATGTGTGAACCAGGCGGTTGCAGGGAATGGAACAGGCATCCAAGCGACGGAAGGAAAATAGTATCATCCAGACATTTCGTACATTAAAATAACTTCCACAGTAGCAGTGGATGAGAACATTATAAGGGAGCTTTGATATGAATTTGACTTGAGTTGATTTGGGTATGCCCTTGGTGGATGCACATACCATTGCAGAATAATCCTAGAACTACAAAGTGGGCGAATCAGCTGACCCATTCCATTTCCCTCTTTGAGGCGGTACAGACCGAATCTGGCAGGAAAGAGGAAAGACTCGGACTCGGGAATGTGCCGGGGTTACTCCAAACAGAATAGCCGGTGATCATCAATCCTAGCAGTTGCAGTTTGCTTTGCATATCAAATACTTATGGAGTGTCTATCTAAGGGTCTCTTGATCCACTCCCGACTGTGTCTCCACTTGCTCCCCGTCCCGATTTCAGGGTAGCTCGGGCCGTACCACTGGATGATGCAGGTTGCACGGCATCTTTGCTGTAATGCTTCTCTCAGTTATTGGCTATAATTTCACTCACTAATTACCTGACGCTAATTACCTGTCTCTCCATACGCTACTTTGGTCATGAAGGCAGGTGCATATCGAATTATTGTCGTTATAAGTGACGTTAACTGCACTGCATATCCTCGATATTCCAGTATCCAACTTGCATCAGCTCTTCGATCTATTCCCATCTATCCGGCTTCTATGATCAATCGAGCCATTGGAGGATGATCTTCTCGTGAGATCAACCGTTATCTAGTTGCGAGATTGTTGTGCCAATCTATTGATTGCAGCAAGCTTTCCCCTCCAATTGAGCGATCTGTTTCAGAACCGTGCCAGCATGTATACCAATTGGGCTCAAAGAATATGTGCAAGAAGTCCATAGATGGAGTTCCTAAGATAGCTGTTGCTAGCTGGAGAGAGAGTAATGGGCAGTACTATCTGCCGAATCTACTAATGCCAACTCCCTAGAGAAGACAGCTAACGGGCTCATATACCAGGCAGGTCTCTCATGCGCCCCCTGGGAGATTGGGTCTCAGGCAATCTAATCTGTAAGGTCATCGGACGATTCCCGTTACGACTGGACTGATCTTCTCAAATTGAAGCTCTCCAACGTAGGATTTCAACTTGACGACAACCATGTTGCGTGGCAGAAGTCTTTAGATTTGACCCATCTTGATGTTCATGAGCTTAGTGATGCCTTGTGATACATACACCCCTTCATGTCTGCCCACTCCTAGTCCGTTTAGGCCCGGCTGACGTGTTACTGACTAAGAAAGTGCGGTAACACTGATAGATACTAATCATATGAATAGGATCCCTTTTTGACATCGGAAGTCTCACTTGTGAATCGTTATCTTCAGTCACTTGGAGAGCATAATCTAACTATGCATCAGATGTTGTAGTCAATTACATAATATGTGTTGCATCTGATTCACGTGACGGCTGTCCGCCACCCCCGCGGTGTTGTTCGGGCTTCACCTCGCATTTCCTCCGCGACGCTGGTTCGAATCGCGTCTCTGCCTCTGCATCTTCCTCCATTTTCTGCTCCCCAATCCGTTGTCTAGGAGATGGATTGACGTCAATTCGTGTTGGTCGAAATTTGCATGAGACAGTCTGGACGCTGACATGGCCAAAGATGGCCCCGAGTCTACGGGATTTGATTGATTTTCTCCTTGCGGAGATTGCCCTCTGCGGTGATCAAGGTCAGTTGCTCGCTCGTCTTTTTCTTTTTCCTCCGGTCGTGACGGTCTCGAAAAATCCCCACCGACATGGCCAAACCCCTGCATGCGCCATCCGTCTGATTGGACCATGAAGTAACATTCAGCTCGGGTCTTTTCAACGGCGAACCTTGCCTTTGGATACCTGCATAAACTTTACCGCCTATGATTGCATTGGTTTTAGTACTATTATGACTAGTCAACTAACCACTTTCAGGCGCTTCTCCTGCTGATATACTAACATTTATCGATACTTTCTATGCCAAGGCGGCGCAAGATGCAGCTGGCCGCGCGCACACCGTGGACCGCCGGTTTCAGGAGAAGGTGTGGTCCTGGCTAATGAAGAACCCAGAAGTATCCGTTGGCAAAGACAGAGAAGGCAATCATCTCAGCCTCCGGGATGCCGAGCGTGGTCAAACCGGTGCGGAGACAGACCAAGCCGCCAACGGAGCATCAGACTCGGCCCGGGTGTTTGTGTCCAAAGAGCGAACCTGGCTCGCAGTGGCTGGTCACGGACCGGATGAAACCAAGGTGTTCCCCACGGAATTCGCTCTTCTCTCTATTATTGCATCGCGCAAGCACAACGGCATCGCGCAGACAGAACTAGTCAGAGTCAGTGGCCAGGACAAACGTTCCGTGCCGAAGCGTACGGATGTTCTGCAGCAAAAGGGCTACATCGAGAAACGCGCCATTCAAGTCAAGTCTACTCGTACCAGTCTTTGTACCTTGCGCAAGTTCTTGACACCAGAGCATGCCCCTGTAGACAGAGAGACTGGGCAGGATGCAGATGCGACCAAGCAGGAAAACATGATCGATTTCAAAGAGTTTCTTGATGAGCTTTTCCAAATCCTCCAGGAATATCAGATTATTTCTCGCAATGACTTGAAGCAGAAGCTTGGGTTTCAAGATCACTGGCGCTGGAGGATCCTATCCCGTGCGCTTCGGAAGTTTGAACGTATTGGCGTCCTTAAACGTGTTCGAGCTTTGTCTCAGTATGCCGACACTCTGAAGAAGTTCCACCCTTGCGTCATGCTTATAA